AGCTTATATTGTAGCATACCTTCTACGCGACATGCTTTGTTTTTAAAGGTCCGTATGCAGCTCTAAAGAAAACGGTCAAGAAAAAATTGCCATTATTTCATGTGTGTGTCCAAGGAATTTTTACATCTGAGCCTGTTGCCTTTTTCCTCAAGAAATAATGGAACGAGCATATATTTCTCTTGCAAACCTGGGTTGTCTTGTGCTCTTTTTTCACAAAAAAACTTTAGAAACCCGTAGTAGAAAGCATACCAAATTTCTTAAGAACTGCGTACTGCCTTAAGGAAACTTGACTCAAGAAAATTTCTTAGCTTTTTCTTGTACGTCATTTTATACGGATTTTTCGCTTTTCTTGAGAGCTGCATACTGGCCTTAAAGTTCAAATTTATCAAGCAAAGCGAGCAAAGTCGTATGTAAACGGCCCTTAACATTTGCGGCACCAAAATGGTTTCCCCTTTTTGTTGGCCTGTGTTATTAAATGTGCGATATGTTCGTATATTTCTCAGAAAAATTGCAACGACAATATTTGTTTTTTATTAAATTATAAAATACAATAAAAAAGCCAAAGTCCGTTAATATGTGAGAATATGTCATGACAAGTTCAAGCTTTTGTTTATTTACCATGCAATGAATTGACAACGATTCATTTTTGCCGCTTCATATTTCATATTGAGAGGAACTACATATTTTTTTACGTCATTGTCAATGAGTGAACATTTATAACTAAATTTGTTTGTAAACAAGACGAAACTTACTTCCCGCCATTAATATTATGTATGCCAAGTTGCCGTCAATTTGCGACTTAACTAGCAGGCTCTCTCCCACTACTGCGCTTTAGCTGGCAAAAGTGATATATGCACATACTTCATGCATACTTACATACAGTCAACGTCAAAAATATGCATACCCTGACGTTCTGGCAATTTTATTTATTTATTTTCCATACCATTTTTTTCTTTTCTTTTCAACAGTAAAACCACGAGACTCCATTTTTAAACTTCATACTTAACACGGGAAAATGTAAAAAATAAAAACAAATTAGAATATTTTAGTAAAATAAGGTTCAAGTTTCAGGCCGCAAGAGATTGTTGGTTTTTGAGAATTTTTTGCTGGGTGTATTGTGTACCTGTAAGACCTGTAAAATATCAACGGTAGTATTTAGCGACTTGAAACTTGTACTTTATGATACTGAAATTGAATGGTCTACAAAACTGAAAAATTTAATATTTCGATGAAAAGTTCTTGCATTTTCCGCGAGTTCTGTATAACATTTAAAAAAATAATGCTTGGGCTTTTTGTTGTCAAGTCGAGCTGAGAAAAATTTGGTAGGGAAAATGTATGCTGTCTATATAAGTATATGTATGTATATGTTCTTGCCATCTATGGCTAATATGCCTCTTTTGAGGAAAAGATGAGCTCCACGAACTGTGTATGTACCAAAAACTATTGGTAGCAATTTAACGTGGCTATTTGTTGATTTTCCTAGAAGGGATTTTTCATGCTACCCAATACATGACTCAACTAGTCTGTGGTCACTGTCACCTCTGTATGCGCATTACATTGCGTTACACCTTTCGTAGTTACTATTTATTGTTTCAACAAATGAATACACTTCAAGCAAGAAAAAGTAGGCTCGCCGTGCTCTTGCACATTTTTCATTTACATATGTACTTATGTACATACATACCTATGCATGTGTTAAATTTATGTACATAAGTAGATACTTACTTACATGCACGCGCCCTTTTGTTGGGAAATTCAAAGGAAAATACTTCGGTTGTGCTTTTCCATTCTGAATGCACCAAAGCTGAATAAAGCTAAATGCACACATATTTATACATATATAAATAAGTGTGTACACAATACGTATTTGCATAATGTTTTTTTTTTACTGTTTGCTTTATATTTGGTTTTCTGCAACTGTTGCAACATTTTGTTGTTTTAATCAAGTTCTTGTCGCTTGTGTGCATAATGTGGAAAATTAAGCATTCAGTGAAGTGAAAAAAGAAAAGTCTTCAATGAGTGGAAAAGTGCACAATTTTTATACAAACATATTTATGTGTATTTAGTAGGTTCAAGTAGTAGTGTATTTATGTGCGTTCTTGGTGCTTTAATGCCACTTAATGTAAGCTGGCTTAAGGAAATAAATGCAGCTTAACAAAATTACCAACGATGCCGGTGGAAAAAACATCAAAATACTATAAATTATTAATTAGATAAATTCTTGTTCCAATTGATGTAACAGTAATCCCAGCAACTAAAGCGTTTTCTTTTGTGTCGTATTCTGGAAAAATCGTTATTGAGGATTCGATTCCTAATTTCACTGCTTTTTAAATTTTTGAATAAAGTCGTTAACCAAATCGGCATTCAAAAATGTACATCCTTCCTTCTAACTTTCTGGATAACAGGCTAACCTAATATTCACGCACGCCGCCAATTTACTGTCAAAAATTTAGCATGCACATACAACTTGTATGTGACCAACCGAAATTGAACGGCATGTGTGTGAAGCTAACTCGATTTCCAATTTTTTCTGCGTGACATTTTGATTTGACGTTTCGCTCAATGAAATCAAATGCAAACGCACGCAAGTAAATTTCGAGTAACGCGAAAAAATAAAAATTCGAAGGCGGGAGCATCAAAACGCAAGCCGCGAATATTAGAAGAAGAAGATCAGAAGCCATCGTCTTTAACTCTCAACTTGCTGCGGATATTTTTAAAGAGAGTTGCCACTTTTTTGTTCTTAAAAAATGTGTTTGAAGGGCAGATAAATTATAAAGCTAAATGGTGCTAAGTTAAATAAAATATTACAAAAATTTGGGCGTCAAACGAAAGAGATTAGATACCGATTTATTTCAAAAATATTTGGCAGAGAGAGTAACCAGCTTTTCTAAAAGTTAAAATTAATTTAATTTACAATTTAAATCAAATATTGGAATACGCGCAACAAATGAGTTATGTTTAAACAAATTTATTTCGAAATTAATTTGGAAGAGGGTTACCACATGTTAAAAATCTCAAATTCGTCTTAATGAAAAAGGTTAACGAAATGTTTAAGAATGCTTAGTTTATAAAATATTTTTGAAGGGGTTGCCACTGGCCCAAAAACTGAAAACAATTTAATTAATAGCTTAATAGAAACATTTCAAAATACATATGTACATATGTATGATATTGTTAGCCACTTATGTTTATTTATTTATTTTTAAAAATATTCAACAATTTTTATTGAGCTTGAAGCCGTTTTTAATGAAACCTTATTGTGGAAAAGCAACAATAATTTGAAAAAAATGGTAGAAGTGATAGCTATTTCGGAAATCCCCAAATTTCCTCATCAGACTTATTTCAGTAGGATTCGAACCGACGATCCCACTAACTCAGCCAGTTGCCTATGCACTGTGCTAAGTTCGCCTTGTGAATTCTTGTTGCTTTTTCCACTATTTCATTGGTTAAGCCAACTACAATCAAGCGCAGCTAATGCAGTGCACAAAACAAATATTTTTAAGAATTTTAATTTGAAATATACATAGTTCGATCTAGAACAGAAACCACATAAATAAAAGTTCCACAGCTTCCACAAAGTACACAAGATCATGCAGTGGCACACTTAGGTCGAAAGCCCGTTGTGATGCCATGCCTGGTAATAAGTATTTCTCTCGCCCTTACTGAAATCTTTGATATCCCTGGCGAATCACTAAATCACAGTAGATCCGTTACTTCCGGATCCAATTGAAATGAAATTGAAATGAGTTTTTTTTTTTTAATTAAACGAAATTAAAAAAAAATATAACTTACGTATATTTTTCTTTTTAAAACAATAAAAGCCAAAAATAAATACAGAACTAAAAAGAAAAAAAGATAGAAAGGTTAAAAGAAATTAAAAATATATACATACTTTTCTTTTTAATGCAATTAAAAGAAATTAAAAAATTGTTTTCTTTTTAAAATAATAAATTCTAAAAAATAAAAAATTAAATTAAAAACCCATCCTTTTTAAAACATTAAAATCTCTGAATTAAGAAAAATGAAATTAAGAAAAAAAATTTAATAAAAAATCAGTTCTTTACAATTACATAAATGAGATATGAAAGAATACGTTTTATGGCAAAATCTAAGAATAAAAAATTTAATTAAAGAAAAAAGTTAAATAAGATAATAAAGTTCAACGTATGTAACTAAAAACATGTACGATGTATATTTTTCTTTTTGAAACAGAAAAAACTAAGAATTGAACCAAAAAATTAATTGAACGGAAAAACACAACTAAAAAGCAAAAATGGGTACATAAATAAAATTTAAAAAAGATTTTTAATGCAAAATTTTAAAATTAAAGGAAAATTATATTAAAAAAATGTAAGTTAAAGAAAAAATAAAGTAAGTTCCTAAAAATTCAACGAAATTAAAATAAAAGGATTTTTCTTTTTAAAACAATAAAATCTAAAAATAGAAACAAATTTAAACTAGAAAAGAAAAAATGTCATCATCAGTCATTTCGATATATTAAACAAGTAATTTTTAAGCAAAAAACAAAACCGACTTCAATTCTCATATAAAAATTTGGGGAGTTCGGGACCACCTTTGAGACTCTGAAAAGAAATTTCGAAATCGGTTGGCGTGGTCCAAAGTTATGCGGAAAATCATCAATAAAGTCTCCAAAGAGGTCCCATACTAATCTGGTTTAGATCCGATCATTGGATCATGGAATATATATATATATATATAAATACTACATGTATATATATATATATATATATATTTTTTTTTTTTATATGAGAATTGCAGTCGTTTTTTTTTGCAAAAAATTACTTGTTTTTTTATTTTTGTACAAAGCGTGAAACCTTTATTTATATGGTACTTTGATAATTAAATTTAAACCAAAAAAAACTCAAACCTCGTCAATACGTGGGTGTCTTCCAAGTATTTATAATAAGCACTATACTACACGTAAATTCAAGCTGCATCAATACTTTTACTGATCTTTGTTCCTTCTCTTTTCATTTCAGCCTCTACCACGCTTCCACCTGCAATTGTTGCCGCCTGCAGAGCTCTCATCAACCCGTAGGTAATGACTAGCAGTACGAGTCCCAGAATTGTGATTATCGGCGCAGGTGTTTCTGGAATTTCCTGTGCTGTTCGACTACTGGACTTCGGTTTTCAAAATGTGCTGCTACTAGAAGCTGAACCGCGCATTGGCGGGCGGGTGCACACCATACCGTTTGGCGAAAACGTCATTGATTTGGGAGCGCAATGGTGTCATGGCGAAAAGGATAATATTATCTACGAGTTGGCAAATAAACATAAGCTACTGGAATCGACGAGGGATGTTTATGAAAATTATAAGTGCATCCGCTCAAATCGAGAGGTAGTTTGTGAAAGTATTAGCCAGCGGCTGAAAGATATCGTCAACGATAGTTTAGTGACACGACAAATGGAATTACGGAACTGTAATGGTTCATTGGGCAGCTACTTAACTAATAAATTCTATGAGGCTTTACGTAGACCAGAAAACTCGGATATCGACATGGCGATAGCGAAAGAGTTCTTTGAAAATTATCAAAAATTCGAAAATTCAGTGGAGGCCTCAGATACGTTAGATGAGGTGTCGGGTCGTGGCTATTTGGAATACTGGGAATGCGAAGGCGATATTTTACTAAATTGGAAGGATAAAGGATTCATTGAATTTCTACGTTTGATAACAGAAGCGCGCGAGTTGGGTAATGAGTTGGGCGTGCTGGAAAAACGCGTGCTGCTGGGGCGAAGCGTAACGCAAATACGCTGGAATCGCAATGATTGCTGTGTGGACATTAAGTGCAATAATGGCGAAGTGATTATTGCCGATCATGTCATACTCACCATGTCGCTGGGTGTGCTCAAGGAACAGCACACAACACTGTTCGAACCAAAGTTACCAGTGGAGAAGCAACGTGCCATCGACGGTCTGGCCTTTGGCACTGTGAATAAGATTTTTATGGAATTTCCCGAAAAATTTTGGCCTGATGACTGGACTGGTTTCACGCTGTTGTGGCGCGAGGAGGATATCAATGAAATACGCGGCACTTCACGCGCTTGGCTTGAGGACGTATTCGGTTTCTATTGCGTTAGCTATCAGCCAAAGATACTAAGCGGCTGGATAATCGGCGCCAATGGACGTCATATGGAGACTTTACCGGAGGATGAGGTGCTTGCGGGTTGCATGTATTTATTTCGTAAGTTCCTAGAATGGGACATACCCAATCCGAGTAACTTCAAGACATCAGCCTGGCATACGAATGCCAACTTCCGTGGCTCTTACTCATTTCGCTCCATGTACACCGAAGAGGTGGGCACAAGCGCACGCGAATTGGCGCAACCGCTCACCGTCGTTACGAGCCCGCCGCTAAGTAATGGCGGTGAGTCGAATGCGAATCCACTCTATCCACAAACACGTTGTGATAAACCGATCGTACAATTTGCCGGTGAAGCGACCAGCGATCACTACTATTCCACGGTACATGGCGCAGTGGAGGCGGGCTGGCGTGAAGCGAAGCGTTTGGCGGATTTCTACGGCATGCCGCGAAATGGCACAAAAGAGCCGAAAACGAAGGCACAATTATAACAGTTTTAGGACTTTGAACGCCAGCTAAGAGTGATTTGAGAAGGAGTGTGTACGAAAGTACCCACAACTCATAAATGACTCTCTGCAGTTCTGTAGGCTTTCAAAGTCCTGAATATGCAAATTGAAAAATATAAATCTATAAAATTTTCCGATGTATATCCCCCGCTTAAAATATTTAAATAAGTAATTGCTATTTACTAAAGACATGCTTGCATTAGGCGGTAATTTTGAAACACAATTAAGCTTCCGATATATTATAAATAATTTAAATTAAACACTAATTACTGATCTTTCAAAGACTCGCTAACTTCCAGAGTGTCATTACAATATTTAAAGTAACACAATATGGAGTCCATAACTACATGTGAGGTCTTTAGAGCCAGGTTAGCCTAACTGACATACAAAAAAGTTACAGCATAAATTGCATTACTAGAATCGTAAGGGTAACAGCTCGAGGCACGTCTTTTTCTTTTTCTTTTACTATCTTTGCAAGCATCACTTAGGTGCAACGAACTTCTCAGTAAAAGACCATATTTATTTTTCATAGCACCTGCTTTCACATATGTATTACTAAAAAATTTTTTTGTAGATATGCTCCTCTGGCTCTCATGGTCTCATATAAACTTGCTCAAAATATTAACAAGAAAAAAACTACCATACTATTTCGAAATATGTAATACAAAAATTTTGCGCCAATTGATATATGTACATTAGACCGAACCACCTTATCAGTAAACAAAACAAAATTTCGCCGTACACTCCTGAGTCTATAGTACACATTTTGGCAAGATAACGTCGAATAAAACTCGTTATTTTTTTAGGCCGTATCTTGGGTTACACCTACATACACTTGGCAATTTTTTATTTTAAAGTTCTACTGGAATAATTAAAGTACTTCCTTTGCAAAAGTTTAAAGATTTTTGAATAGTTTTAATTTTCTGACACTGGGGTTTTACGTTAGGGTGGTAGGAACTGAGATGGGGTGGGTAAGTACTAGCACTGGATACTTGAGGTCAACTCTGGAACAAAAATTTTATCCCAGGGAGAAAAGCATCGACATACATACATATGAACCATACTTCAAGATCTAACTGTAAATGGCGCAGGTATGAAGAAAAATTAGAAAAGGCAACCTCTACCTTCGCCAAAAAAATCGATATCGACGTGGAATCTAATAATCTTAGCAAGAGTTAAATGATTTTTAAATAGTTTTAATTTACTGACACTAGGGTGATACGTTAGGGTGGTAGGTAGGTACTGAGATCTGGTGGATAAATTCTTAAAAAATTTATTCTCGAGATAACATCGATATACCATGCTTTAGGATCAGACTGTAAATGCCGAGGATATGAAAAAAATGTAAAAAGACGACCGACAAGCCATTTTTTTTCTCATTTGCCTTACAAAAATACTTAAGACTCAACGGTCTACGCGAACTTGTTTTTTCTGATTCAGTCTAATGTACATATCTACAACTAATTTCTTTCAATATTTCACTATAAAGTACTAGATATTGTAATATCATAAGTTCCAGCGCCGGTTTTAGTACAGTCAAATTACGAAAAACGGACGATTTTGTAACGAATACTCTAAGGCTGGACGCTTGGAATGTAAAACTTGATTTGCGGGACTCGGAGGATTGTGTAATCTCCGTTATCTCGCAAACAAGGGTCGTCAAGGTTTTTTTTTTTTTTCATTTTAGAGGCACAGCCATTTTAGGGGCTCAAACAATTTTAGTTCCCACGCGTGATAGTGGATTTCGCTCAACCTCACTGCATTTATTTTATACAGTGGGACAAAGCGTCCACTTCTTGCCTAAAAACATATGATTTTTAAACATGTTTTTAAAGATGTAAAACGTCTTTAACGATAAGTCTTGTCTTAGATAAAGAATAATAACAAATTTGTTAAAAGCCTTAAGTCCTGGCAGTTAGAGGGTTAAAATGATTCACAAAAATGCCAAGCATCTAATTCTACTAGGCTTCACCGAACACGAAAATTTACGAATCCAGGAGAAAGAGTAAATACTTACAAAATATATTTTTTCATAAAAAATAATAAAATGTTTCCCCAAAAAGAGAAAACTTTAACCGTCTGTAAAAATATTTTTGAGATGCGATGGAGCGCAGTCTTTCTGATTTTGACTACCACGTGTTAATGCTAGAGTTGGTTAACTTTCGTTGAGGTTCAGGAACGTTGACCACTTTGTTTCCCAGATGTCGGCGACTCTACTGCCCCCTGAGTGCCGTAAATTAATTTTTTCATTACCTGTACTAGCCTCAAAGTATTCAAAAAGAAATGAACACTCTATGTTACAAGTTTTCAGTTTACCAATTTTCGAAAACTCAACATTGGCTTATTTAATTCGGATTTATTATTTTTCATTTCGTATTCGGCCTTCAAAAACAAAAAAAAAAACAATATTACAAAATATGCAAATAAAAAACTAAAGCCGCGGTTTCCAGCCGCTCAAATTATTGTTGCCATGCAATTTAGGAATTACAAAAAAAGGCGCTATAGTCATTTGTGAAATATGTCTTCTTATATATGTACATAGTTGCATACATACAAAAATATATATAATTAGGTGCATTTTTACAATTGAATGTCAAATAATGGTTGAAATACTAGACATATGTATACATACATTGTAAGTATTGAGATATGTACATATACATGTACATATGTACGCACATAAGTTTAAAGTTTTAATGAAACAACGTTGAGCCTGATTGTTACACAATCTTCATACTTTTTAATAATAAAAAATAATTACAATATTTGCAAAATATATTTATTAACGCGCAAACGTAATATTTATAATTCAAGACTTCTGCAGAGAAACACTTTTAAAAATATACTGAAAATGCAGCTATTGATTATTAATAAAAACCTTATGTAAATACGTATGTATTCGGGGTTATTTTACTCGAATAGGGCCTGTAGATTTTAAAATATGTATATTTTATGAGATCAATAAAATGGAATGGCAAAACTATTAAATGCTTATTTTTCGATTTCCGACTATAGTGCTTATCACGCCGCCCACACATTTTGAGAAGTTTATTTATTGTTTCTTTACTATTTATTTTTATTTATTTTTTAAAAATAGTTAATCTGATAAATCAAGTTTAAAACGTTTTGCTATATTAAAAAAAAAAATAACTAACTTTCTTAAAAGTTGTAAGTTTTTTAATTAGATTCTTAGAACGATTTTAAGTATGCAGTTTGTTGAGGGTGTCGCTCATTTTAGAGACGTCTACACTTATATAACTCACTCTCGCTTAGTGGTATGCCAATATCTATTTCTTCTTAGTCTGCAAGTGGTCTTTAAGGTATCCTCACGTATGATGACACATAGTGATGGTAAGTGCAGCATTGCATCAAGAGCAGCGCCAGGTGTCGTACCGAAAGCTCCCGTACAGCACACGGCAATGGTTCTTTGAAGTTTAACAAGCATATTTTCTATGCTATTGATTTAGAGTCTGCTCCACCATACCACTGACGCAAAGCTGATTACAGGCCTGATCAGTAAGGTATAAATTCAGAGGACTCTCTTTGGTGACAGAACCAACGCTTTGCCAAAGACCTGTTTACATTGCCAAAATGTTGCCAATGCTTTCGAGGTCTTGTTCTCCACGTGATTTCACGATAATTTTATATCCAGAATTACTAGTAAATACTACTAGATACTTAACTTCAGGAGAAGAGTATAACGCTAGTTTTAGTTGGCTTAGAGATTCGCCCATTTCGATTACACCAAGTGACAATTCAGTGTTGTGTGTACTTTCTTATAAACAGCCGGCAGAGATGGCTCGTGACTAGACAGGCCACATCGTCCGCATAGGCTTGAGCGTAGATATCAGAGTCATTAAGAGTGACAAGAAGAGAATCAATTACCGGGCACCAGAGCAATTGGGAAAGCACACCACCCTTAGGGCATCCCCCTATTAACTCCGCACGTGACATATTGACGCTCTTCTGCCTGAATTTTGATGACCCGCTGCGCCGGCACTGAACGAATCCAATGTACCAGTACAGAATCAACTCGGAGCAGTGAAATAACACCCGAGGAAATAAGGTCCGCGTTGGCGCCATCCCACGACGCCACCGTCCGCGTTATCACGCCACCACTGAAAAACCTAAAAAAGCTTAGAACAAATATGCGCTTCGCATTGAAGGCTAAAGAGTATAACAATTTACCTTTAATTTCCAATAGTTCGCTTATCAGTTTTTGGCAAAAATACCGTTCGATTTTGTGCGTATACCGCAAAAGAGAATTCAATTCAGAACTACTGTATGCAAAAATAGGTAAATTCGTTTAAAATACATTGCAATTTAAGCATATGTATGCCTTCAGATCTTAATAAAAAATTATAATTGGTATGTTTCAGTATAATAAAGCCAGACGGAATAACACCCACACCCTTTTCTTTGGGAAATAAAGCCCGTGGCCGTTATTGCTCTTTCGCAAAGAAAACAAAGCCCGCGGGCTTTATTGCCTTTTTTCGGTTGGCGCTTTTTCCCCTTCGAAAGGGAAATAAAGCCCGAGGGCTTTCTTTCCTTTTTTAAGGAAATAAAGTCCGTGGGCGTTGTATATGCTATCGAAGGTGGCATTGTCAAACGCGCCCTCAATGTTTACAAAAATGCCCAAGGCGAACTTCTTCTTCTGGATGGCATTTCTAATTCTGGCAAGAAAATTTTGCAAGCCGTGATGAGAGCGCCTCCTTATGAATTTGCAACTCTACTAATCATTCCAGACATTTTAGCATGATGTTAAGCTAATAGGCCTATAGCTTCTAGGGTTACGAAAATAACGCTTTAGTTAGGTTATTAAAGAGCGCAATGCGGACACAAAGCCATAATCAGAGCAGATAGACGTACCACTGAAAATCTGGAATAGCTCCCGTAATGATTGTTGGAAATATAAAACCGCAATATGTTAATAAAAGATAATAATTTTAGGTGCCGCGCCATGCCGGTTCTGCTGGTAAGAGCTGATTTTTACGGAAGATATTGGAAGACAAAGTTCGGGTATTCGATGATTTCCGTTAAGAACACCCTAAATTTACATACATGTTTACTTATAGGCGATATACACGGTGCATCTCATTCGCGAATCCATTTGGATATGTTAGTGAAAATAAATATGACATAACTAGGAATGACTCAACTTTGTGTAGACGAGTGCGATACAACACGTACACAGATGACTCGCGAGTTAGACGCACCGTCTATGGCGCCCACAACGTTTCTGTCGTTAAATTTTCACTACATATCAATCATATTCTATTTGTTACTAGAAATTCTCAGTCATGGAAATTCTTTTGACACCAACTTATGTATTTATTTATTAAAAAATTACTACTTCTTAATTTTCAATGTGTCTAACAAAATCTAAACATAGTGATACAAGCATCGATGGCAGTCTTTCTAGCCAAGTCAGTGAAGCTTTTCTCGAGAAGTATAGATTTAGAAGAGATTCGGGCTCCAAAATAGCATCGGAACCGAACTTTCTCATTATCGGCGCTGGCGCTGCTGGCCTTGCGTGCGCTGTGTCACTGCTTAAAAAAGGTTTCCGGTATGTGACTATCATCGAGGCGGAGAATCGAATCGGTGGACGTATTTTTACAAAGTCATTTGGCCACAATACCATCGATTTAGGCGCACAATGGTGCCATGGTGAAAAGGGTAATATTGTTTACCAAACAGTTAGTGGTAAAGTAACGCTGGGCTCTTCGACTCACATCTACACAAAGTTCGATTGCATTCGCTCGGATGGTGAGTTATTGCCAAATGATGTAGTTCAAAAGCTTAAAACTTTGCTGGTACAAATCTTTGCAAAGCGCCATCAGGAGCTGCCTTCATTTAAAGGTACATTTGGCGAGTATTTAAGCAAGAATTTCTATGAAATGATAACGAGTAAAGAATACGAAGACATTAGTCGCGCCGTTGCACGAGAATTCTTCGAGAATTTCATAAAAATCGAGCGGTCTGAGACAGCTGCAGGAGTTGAGGAAATGTCCGCACAGGGTTTTGAAAATTACATTCCATGTGATGGTGATTATTTATTGCATTTCGATAATGGATTTCTAGAGTACCTACGTATTCTTTTGGAAGCTGATGAATTTGGTAACGATTTGGGGCTGCTAGAGGATAAAATTATTTTCGGCATACGCGTGAAAGAGGTCACATGGAACCGTGCCGATTTCAAAGCGCAGGTTACTTGTGAGAACACCTCAGCTGTATTTCTGGTAGACCATGTCATAGTGACAGTCTCATTGGGCGTACTAAAACGAAATGCAGCGCAATTGTTCAACCCAGAGTTGCCGATATCTAAACAGCGTGCAATCGAAGGCATAGGCTATGGCAGCATTATGAAATTATTTCTGGAGTTTCCAACGCCATTCTGGAACAGTAAATGGATGGGCCTAGCCATGCTTTGGCGTGAAGAAGATCTTTTGGAGTTACGCGAAAGCGCACGCGCCTGGCTGGAAAATATCTATGGCTTTTATAGGGTTGCAAATCAACCCTGCGTAATAGTTGGCTGGCTAGTTGGCTCCCAAATTCCTCAGGTAGAAACAATGCCAGATATCGAGGTTAAGGAAGGATGTATGTATTTGTTGAGGCGTTTCTTGCCGCAATGCAATATACCGGATCCAATAGATTTTATCAAATCTGTTTGGGATACTAATCCAAATTTTTATGGCACAAGCTCGTTTCGTTCACTGAAGACAGAAGAGCTGTGCACAGGTGCAGTTGAGTTAGCGCAACCCATAACCGTACTCGCCGAAGCGCCTAACTTTCTCGTTGAAACGCATCTGCAAGGAGGTCTGGCCGTTAAGCCGGTAATACTGTTTGCTGGCGAAGCTACACATGAAACTCATTTCGGTACGGTGCATGGTGCGGTAGAGAGTGGTATACGAGAGGCTAAACGTCTGGAAGGTTACTACACAGTAGATCTGTAGAGAAAATTGTGCAAATTTAAATGTATACGAAAACTCAAATATATTTTGCAAAAATAACAAACTATCTACACAAACGCAAAGCTGTTGCTTAATTATTTAGCAAATTTAGACAAGATACCACGCAATTTGCATAAACTTTTTAGATTCTACTCCCTAATGACTTGCGGCTCAAAGTCGAGTTGTGCAGCACGCGCGAGGGATTCCGCATATAACGGTAGACGCTGTGTCATGGGGAAATTCCAAAAATCTTTCACCTGTCTGCACAGATTCAGGTCTATTTCAGTGATGAGCAGACCATCCCTATTGCGTGATAAGCCCGGCGTGCGTGCGCCATTCGGTGCCGTCACGTAAGATGAACCGTAAAAGGGTCCGAATACTTTATGCGCTTTCTGGCCGTCGCCTGAAGTATACTCGTTGGGAAATTCCTCGCTGCCGACACGATTTATTGCAACTGTGAAGTAGCTATTTGCAATTGCTGCATTGCGCGCTTCAATACCCCAAAGCGGCTCGCTGAGTGCGCCCACTGTAGCCGAAGGATTGAATACGATTTCGGCACCATTCAAGCCGAACATCAACCAGTTTTGTGGATGGTGACGGCCGTAGCAGATATTTATTGCTATTTTGCCAAAGTCTGTTTCGAAAACTGGATGGCCAGTGTTGCCTTCCATGTAGTAGGTGGACTCGTTGAAGTCGCCGACACGTGGAATGTGATTCTTACGATGTTTTCCAAGATAGCGGCCCCGATTTGAGATCACCACCGAAGTGTTCCAGATGGTGTCGCCATGTGTTGTATCGCGTTCCAGTATCGATGAAATAATAACCATATTGTAGGCTTTGCCCAGCTCTTGTAGCATTTGTGTTGTTGGACCCTTTTCAGCCTCTTCGGCAAATTCACACCAGGGAAATTTTTCGCGCGTGCAGAATGCAAAGGGCATTGCTAGTGGAATGAAAAAAAAAATAAGAATCAAGAGCAGATTGTATATAAAAAATGTTTAGATTATAGCTTTGAACTCACTCCATGCTTCCTGCATGCAAATAATATTAACGTCTGCCTTGGCAGCTGCCTTGATTATGATGCGTATTTTGTTCCAAATGGCTTCGCGCTGTTTGTCCACCGGAGCAGTGGTGGGTAGTACAATGGAGTTTTGTATAGCTCCCACGCGCACTATGCGTGGTTTGCGTATTTGCTCTTTCTGCGCAGATAGACGATATCCTTTTATCTCAAAATCATGATCGGAAGCTAGGGAAACGGAAGCTTCAGGCAGTTCTAGCACATCGCTGTAAATGATGAAGAAATGTTAGGCGTTTTTGTGCATTCCTAAAAAAGGTAGCAAAAGCTTATATATGTACTTTTGAGCAATTTGTGTTGACGAAATTTGTAAAAAAAAAATTTAGAAAGATCCAAGGCGAATTTATATAAGGTGGTGTTACTAGCTCAGCTGATTTTGTGTATGTGTTTCGCCGCACGGCTTCTGATATCAAATTGAAAAATTTTGTTTGAATTTCTACACACACTCTTACAGATTTTGACAGTTTATGCCGCCAAAGCAAAAACAAAATACATGTAAATTTTTGTTTTTGTACTCCTGCTATCACCTTATATTAATTCGCCTTGGTAAGATCGTTCCTTGACTTGAGAAAATTTATCTTGTAGAAAAAGCGGTCTCAGCAAACACAACATTTATACATATACATTAAAGTAGTCCAAAAATGTATGTAAAAAAAATAAGGTCGCATTTTTAATGCCGCCAGCCCCTAGGATTGTTCTATACCAAAAAAATTATACCCCTATTTTTTTATTTTGAAATAAAAAAAAAAAATTAGGGTGTGCTCAAAGCGCTCAAAGTTTTCAATGTATTTTATATGGGGAAAAAACAACTTTTCGTAGAAATAATGTAGAATTCTTGAACATCAATATTTTTCGATCGGAAAACTTTGCTTATCTTCAGGAGATTACCGGTAATAATATCCGATTGTTCCTTTAACAATTTTTTCATGGTGACTATATTTTATGGGTCCTTGAAAATGCAATGGGAGGACCAATAAAAAATCTTAATCATAAAAAATGGTTAAATAAACAAATGGATATCAATATTTGAAGTCTACTGAGGAGAACCACAGTTTTACGATTGAAAAATATTGTTTTTTTTTGAAAATTTAAAATTTGTTTTTTCAAACAAATAAGTTCGCCGTACATCGCTGCGTCTAGGGTATTTTTGCAAAGAAATTTCGAAATCTTATTTTTTTTTGCCGAACCTAAGAGTCACATTTTTAAATTTTTCTCGTGGCAGCTATGTTCGACAAAAAAAAATCTGAATAGTTATAATAAAATAATCACAAAAGTTTAACAAAAGATTCAAGATTTTTGGTAAGCTTTATGTGCTGACTTTGGAACAGAAAAATTGTCGATGTAAGGCAACAAAATAATAATAATTTGTGTAGGGCGAACTTTTTTTCTAGTATGGTCTAATGTACATACATACATAGATGGATGTATGTATGCCGCAGATTATCTGAGAACATTATACATATGTATACGTAAACAAATATGTATGTATGTAAGTATATCACTTTTATTATTTCAACTACTCAGTTCATACATACACATTCATAATAAATTTGTTTAATTAGTATGTATCAAAATGAAAACCAAATAGCGGGATAAAGTTTAAATTTATAGCATTTAAATGCAGTCTCTGCTGATAACGCGATAATTGTACAATTTACGCAGATACAATTTATCAAATTCACTATTATACAACAAATATTTTTACAATCTCCGCTGTTTCGTTAAATTAAGTATAAGAAAATATATGTACATTCTTTTGTATATACATTCATATACATATGTATATAACTAGGACAACCTTTGCATTAACAATTTGCTCGACTCACTCTTCTGGAACGCCATACAAAATACGCTTCACCTCTTTCAGTTCATTTGGTGGTATGTGCTTCTCCAGACACTCTTCCAAACTTTTTAAATCGAATGCAGACATTTTTGATTATTGTTGGCTATAACAGATGATTTCTTTCGTTTACATTAAATTGTCTATAATAAATTTAGCGATAAATTGTTTAATAGGCTATTTCTATTTTCTCAAACTCAACCAACCAACACCGTTGCTTGCTGATCAACAAATGATGAGTTCTAGAGAGAGTTTTCACTTGGGTGGTGGCCAGTGCACGGACTTCACCACTTTATTGGTAGATCTACTCACTTTTTAGCTATATTATATTTTCTACCATTTTAAACAACAAAGTCTAAAAATCTACATGCCAATCTTTTCCATATTTTATCATCGGGCACACCTTAAATAAAAATGAAAAGTTAACTCTGAGCATAACCAATTTAAAAGTGAAATTGCATCCCTATCAGCTGTTTAGGTAAGTATTTTTCGTTTGCAATAAGTTTGTGTGGGAGGCTGTCCAACGAATAGGTTCCAAACATTAACCATTTCAAATCTAATTTGAATTAAAAAAGTTTGTAGCGGTGAGTAATTGTTTGAGCCTCCTTTAAATTATTACAGAGCCCATCATCGAAGAAAATTCGATTCGAAATTTTCAAACTTCGGTACTGAGTTTGCTTCTTCACTTCAGATTGTATTGGAGAGAAAACTGCTGTCATTTTATTTCATTCGATTCGAATTAAGGAAAATTCATATAAGGCGGTGGTACTATCATCGTATACATATGAAACCACCTTATCTCGAATAGAGTTTCATTCGATCACGGATGCGGTGATTCGGGTCCAGTTGTATGTAAACATAGGTTTTTTTGTTGAATATTTTGTTGACGTGAAATATATCTGTTGTTGTTTGATAAAAATTACAATTTATCCCGCGGCGAACTAATGAAAAGTGATAGCAGGAGTACCAAAATAAAAATTACAATTACAAATTTTAAGCACAACACGACCGTTTATGAATTCGCCATTCTGATCTTGTTTTTTTTTTTTAATCTATCAACTTCTAATTTTTTTAGAAATCCATGCACTGGCACGCAGTCAGGGCTGCCAACTATCTTGAGCTATGAGGTGCCATATTGGGAATAAAAAAGACCCAAAAATAAACAAGCATGCCAAGAAAGGTGTCACTCTTTTTAAGCGAAATAAAACTATTCATTTCCTTTAAAGGAATCGATGCTAACAATTTTCTAATATCTTTGAACTGACGATGCATCGATGTTTTAAGTATTGAATTTAGTGTGACTCAGACCTGCACTTAATTCAACTTATCCTTTGTTTTTCTAATAGTTTTTTTTTATTTGATCCTGAATTCTTATGCCGTATTTCCACTAGGCATTAAATGACACAAATTATAATGGTGAAGTGGGGGCATTAAAAAATATCTGTGCCATGACCTTTAGAAAAATTGCAATTCAATTCATTTCCACGTGACATTTTTCAAAAGGCAAAACTTTTTCGTCATTTCAATGCCTAGCGGAATTTCGGCATTACATTATTCATTATTTGGAGCCCAGTTTTGAGAATACTCACTTAACATTTAGAAAGAGACCGAACACCCGTCTGCGACAAATACATTGTCAATGAAATCAGTCCTTCTAAGTTTGGACCCCAGCGAGATTACGCTGGTGTGAATTTTTAGTTTACAAATTTAACAAATTGTAAAACGTCGGAAAATATCCATGTATCGATGTTTTTCAGCCAATTTATTTCGTTATCGATGTTGCCGATGTTAATCCTGAAAATTTGCATCCCTATTTCCTTCCCATTTAGCAATAAAAATAGAACCACAATCCTAAAAAAAAGTGCAATGCCAAAATAAGATAAACCAGTTGTATAAATTTTAGAGACTAGCAAATTTTAGTTGACGAAAAATTAGTACAACGCGAAGGATTTAACAAATATGTATTGAAATATTACTAAATATTTTTCAAAAGTGAAACATTAAGTGTTTGAAATAAAATAGGGCCACACATTGCACGGTTTGCGCGAAGTTGGCAGGCCTGATTGCGGTGCTAGCTAGCGTAAATGTCTTCTTATTTTTGTCTCAATGCTCTCTATTTATTTTTTGATACTTGCTGAGCTACATTCATACTTGTATACATAGGTGAGCGTTTA